AAAAAAAAACATTTCCCGCGCAAAAATGATATCAAAGTATTTAGCAACAAACGGTACAAAATGAGCTCCATAGCGCAAACTTGACGTGTTCCTTTACTATCAAAGGGTATAAATCTACTACCACCATCTTAGAAGAACATTAATACAGTAAAATAAGGACCTTCTGTGAAATCCTGCGTGCACTGATCAATCATAGTCAGGTCCGTGAGAAACGACCCCAAGTAAGGCACAGTACCCTGGCACTCGGCTAGATTTACATCACTCTTGGTACGTCGACAGTTCTGAACAAGCTGCGGTCGTCTCAGCGGCGAACTCTTGGCTGTTCCTTCCTAGAAAATACATAGCAGTGACTAATTACCAAGAAAGAAATAAGGAACTGGGTTAAACAAAACCGCAAAAACCACGGTGTGTCAAGCTCCTCGACCCAGTCATCCACTACGATTTCTACCAAACCCATTTCCAACCTGCTCCAGTATACGTCGAGCGTTCCGTTCGTCACCCTCTTCGTCCATGTCGTAGATAGCGGAAAGATCGCGGAATTGCGCCATTGATCGACTGAAGAAGTACATTGCCGCATACTAAGCCAAAGCTCCATTTTGTAAGAATCTCTGCCTTGTAACATTCCACGTCACAGCAAGCATCTGAGCTCTAAGAATTCACACAACCTACGGATTTTGAGCAAGGCGTTTCCACACGAAACGACACAACCGTACCTTGGAACGAGAGCCCATACGGATTTCAATCGGTGCACCGGCTCGGACTGTAAACTCGATAGTACCGCTTTCAGTGACGAGAAGTTCTTCAATGCCCGAAGTTCCTCAAAACATCGATTTATACTGGGTTGAACCTGACTTATGTGGTAGCCTAGCAAATGCTACTGGGTTGGAACACAAAGCCTGCATCAAAAATACCGAATTCTAAGAAAAATGCTGCAATTCTGGTATCGATTTGAAATAATCTTCCTAACCAGAATAGGATTTATGCTGATTCTTCATCTTGAGAACTGTGGAACTAGCATCGAATTTTAATCAGTCGAAAACAAAGCTCGGCGCTATTCCACTTAAAGGCAGTGGACAGGCAGAATGGACCTCTCTCGG